AATGTTAATGGAGAAGTATAGAGATGGTCAGAAGGAGCTGCATTGTGTCTTTGTGGATTTAGAAAAAGCGTATGACAGAGTGCTGAGAGAGGAGCTATGTCAGAGTAGTTCAGGATATGTATGAGAGGAGTACGACAGTAGTGAGATGTGCTGTAGGTCAGACAGAGGAGTTCAAGGTGGAGGTGGGGCTACATCAAGCTTCGGCTTTGAGTCCCTTCTTGTTTGCTATGGTGATGGACAGGTTGACAGATGAGGTGACAGGAATCTCCGTGGACAATGATGTTTGCGGATGACATGGTGATCTGTAATGAGAGCAAAGAGCAGGTGGCGGAACACCTGGAAAGGTGGAGGTCTGCTCTGGACAGAAGAGGAATGAAAGTCAGTCGTGGTAAAACAGAATACATGTGTATGAACGAGAGGGAGGGAAGTGGAACAGTGAGGTTACAGGGGGCTGAGGTCAAGAAGGTGCAGGAGTTTAAGTATTTGGGGTCAACAGTCCAGTGTGATGGGGAGCGTAGGAAAGAGGTGAAGAGGTGAGTGCAGGCAGGTTGGAGTGGGTGGAGAAAGGTGTCAGGAGTGTTGTGTGACAGAAGGGTGGCAGCAAGACTCAAAGGAAAGGTGTACAAGACAGTAGTGAGACCAGCTATGCTGTATGGGTTAGAGACTGTAGCAATGAGGAAAAGACGAGGCAGAGATGGAGGTAGCAGAGATGAGAATGTTGAGGTTCTCTTTAGGAGTGACCAGAATGGACAGGATTAGGAATGAGCACATCAGAGGGACAGCTCAGGTCGGCTGTTTTGGGGACAAGGTCAGAGAGGCCAGACTGAGATGGTTTGGACGTGTGCAGAGGAGGGATAGTGGTTATATTGGTAGAAGGATGTTGGAGATGGAGCTGCCAGGCAAGAGGTCAAGAGGAAGACCAAAGAGGAGATATATGGATGTGCTAAAAGAGGACATGAAGTTAATTGGGATAAGAGTAGAGGATGCCCAGGATAGAGTTAGGTGGAAACAGATGATTTGCCATTGGGAACTGTATCAATTATACAATAAAAATACATTATAAATGTTATCAGCAATGTTTTGTATCAAAGGTAGAGCATCACAAAGCAATATCTCAGTAATAAAGGCAGATCAATAAAAGAAAATGTGTATGTAAATAGATTTATTTTTTTACTTTGCAGTTTTTGAAAGTTATGAGCACCTAAGGTAAATATCAGTTCACACTAATGTAACCACTAAATGCAAATGAAAATAATATACACCGAACCACTGTTCAAATGATTTTTTCAAACTCTGTTTCTTGTGAAGATGTCAAGTTGTTCAATAATACCATACAAAATGTCATGTAAATAACATGGACATTTGTATAAAATGTATAAATAAAACATCTAACAAAAATATAGAAATACCTAAATAAAAGTCGTATCGCTCTGATTTAAATGCATCAATAATTCCAATTGAGCAATATATTACTGTTTATTTAATTAGCAAAGCATTTTAATACTGCGGATTTCCCTCTCGCGATATTTTGCTAACGAGAATACAAGCGGAAGTAAATAGTCGCCTGGGCATGTTGGTGAGTGTGACAGAGTAGCGAGTTAAGCGTGGATGATTTATTTTTTAGTTTAGCGGATAAAACTAATTTATAACTTTCAGCTTTTGTTTTTTGAACACTGAGAAAGAATATATTTGCCTTTTCATTATTAGTATAATAAATAAGCCATCAAAGTTGGGGAATTTTGTCCGTTTGGGGCCTGTAAAGACATATGCTAACTTAGCTAACATTACGTTTATGTGTTCAGCTAACAGCTAACGTCGCTTTTAGTAGCACAAACTAGCCAAAGACAACTGAACTGGTTTCACTATTTAATGTTTGCGATCCTTTTAAACAGATAAATACCGTTATCACAGCTAACGTTGACTCTGGCGGTGGTTGTGGGAAAGGTCGGCTGCATCTAAAATGATCATTGAAAACCTCGATGCCTTGAAAACATGGCTGTCTGAAACGTTGGAGCCTATGTAAGTAAGATTAGCTGTTAGCCATACAGCTGTTTTCTTAACCGTTTAGCAAATGTTAATTCAGACAAACACACACTGCACGGATGTAATTTGTTGCTGGTAACATTATACTTTATAAGCAACTTGTCCACATCCTTATTTTCATGTCCGTGAGTGTTACATTTTGGTTTTCTTCATAATTCCAGCTGTGATGCAGACCCTTCTGCCCTCGCCAAGTATGTTGTTGCTTTGGTGAAGAAAGACAAAAGTGAAAAGGAACTTAAGGCTCTGTGTATAGACCAGTTGGATGTATTTCTACAGAAAGGTAAAGATATTAATAGACATTCCCAGTGTGTGTGTGACATTTCTATATGCATTCTGGTCACAGTAGTAACTACAGTTTTTTTCAAAGTATTATTAACTAGTGGTATTTGAAAACCCATAAAGGCCTTTACAAGCACTTAACACTGTTCTGATGACATTATTTGAAGCCTGAAAGACTTTTTTATTCACCTGGTTAGAAAATGCCTATCTTGGTGCACAATAAAAAGGATTTTAATTTGTTTTCCAAGATAAAAACATTTTTATTTTGCAGCAGATTGGATATTTTTTAATCCAGATGGTTAGAAAAGTCATCAAGAGCATTCAGAAAATACTGTCAGAGTAGCAGTAGCCTAATTGTTTTCGAGCAACCCTGTGGGATTTTCAAACATCACCAGTTAATTATTGAATAGAATGTTTGATAATACTGTGCATGAGAGGGGCAGACTGGGGATAATTAATCCTCTGCTTAATGCATTAATATATCCTTGATTTATGCTGTTCTTGTCCTTCTTTCAGAGACCCAACCATTTGTGGATAAGCTGTTTGAAGCTGTTAACAACAAAAGCTACCTCCCACAGCCAGAGCAGCCACCCCCTCTGGGCAAAGCTGATAAAGATGAGCAGAAGAAAGATGAGGTACTCTTCTTATAGAGACAGTAATAACTTTTAGAGCAATATATTATATTATATATAAATAAATTAAATTAAAGTTTTTGTTCAGACAAATCGGGAAGAAGAACGAGAGAAGAAGTTTTCTCGGCGACTAACTCACAGCCCTCCACAATCAAGCTCTCGTTACAGTAGAGAAAACAGGTATGTGCATCTACCTGTTTCCATTTGTTTTCTTTCCACTTGTACTTACACTATTTATCTCTGCCAAAGAGTTGGTTATTGGTTTGTTTATTAGTTTGTTGGTTTGTTCACAGCATAACTCAAAGCTATGAATGGGTTTTGATTACATTATTGGAGAGGTAGGTTATGACCCATGGACCAATCCATTAGATTTTGGTGGTGATTTGGATCATCATCTGAATCCAGGAATTCTTTTAAGGATTCTTCACCATTGTGAGATAGGAACAATTTCAATATATTTGCTTTTGACTCTATACATAATGCCTAGAATGCTTGGATAAAAATTGTAAGACAACATCCCTGTAAGATCTGTAAGATAATACCAAAGTATGATCAGGATCCAAGTAATATTCCAGATATGTTGATCCAGAATGTTCCCATTTATAGGGCTTAGAGGAAACCGGCTACTGTGACACAACAAATAACACTACAGACTTGCAGCAAAGATCAATTTTTGGGTGGAACTCTGCTGACTCACTAGGTTGTCAGCAGATTTGACATACTGTATCTTCAAAAGTTACTGAGCTACATCCTGAAGAAAAGTGTCATTAGTGAAATATCATTTGTCTTGAATAACCTTCAAAATACTAGTGATATCAATGTGATTCAAATAAGAGTCAACCTGTCATGGGGATATTGCATTAAGGGGACAGTGATCTGACTTGTCAGAGGTTTGCATTTTTGGAGTGCTGTCTAGTTATGTCTTTGTTTACTCACATTTTTAGGAGAGGAGATGACCGAAAGAGAGACGAGCGCTCCAGGAAGAGGGATTATGATCGCAACCCACCAAGGAGGGACTCATATCGTGATCGCTACAATCGCAGAAGAGGTCGCAGTTACAGTCGTAGTCGCAGTCGGAGTTGGAGCAAGGACCGCATCCGAGACCGTGACAGAGAGAGGGACAGGGATAGAGACAGGGACAGAGATAGGGATCGAGATCGTAGCAGGAGCCGGTCCCATAGCAGAACTCGATCTAGAAGCAGGAGCAGAGGTAGGAACCAGACTGATGAATCTGAAATGATCTAATGTTGTCTACACATGGTTACTAGCATGATTACTGTGTGCCAGTTTGAACCTTTGTGTTCTGTGGAAAGAACAGTGACATAAAAACCTAGGTTCTGAAACACCAGAATCAGAATCAGCTTTATTGGCCAGGTGTGACAGACACACAAGGAATTTGACTCAGCTACATTGGCTCTCAATGTGCAAAACCGTAAACCAGCATAAGGCTGTGTAATATAACAAAATAACAGTATTAACATCAACAAACAGTGCAAACAATGCAGAAAAAGCAGTATAAACAGACAGTAAACAATGCAGACAGCAAAGGAATGTTCATTGAAATGAGATAAATAGGGATAAAACTTTACCCTGTAAAAGCCCAACATATCAAAAAATAGCCAGAACATTTTTCGGAACCGAGAAGCCCAATAAACCTTTTAACAAAATCCAAAATATAATTCATGATTTGAAATTCAAGATTCATGATTTTTATTTGCCATATATGCATAGACAGACAGCCCAGGCATATAGGAATAGAGGTGCCATATTATTTAGATTATTTCTTTTGTCTCACATTTGATACATAGGGCATTTTTGGTGATTTATTTTTTTTTTTTGCTCAGAAACCTCACGTATCAAATATGATACAAATGGTTCTATAGGGTTAAGAACTAGAGACCTGTACAAGTCTGTATAATCTGTATGAGGTATATTTACAGGTGTTGGACTGAGGGTTATTGTCCAATCATACTGTCTCTTACTTTTTGCAGTGTGCATGAAGTTGATTTTTTGCTAAAGTTTTCTCATGTGTCCTGTGAAGTAACAGCTGACCAAGAAGCTCCTTAAACACAAAGATTACCTCTCAGTTTCCAGGGATGTTTGTTTAATTCAGGATAGGTGTTTATGCGGCTTTCTTCACCATAAATGTAACTGTTCATGTTTATGAATGAAATGCAGTTTTATGATTTAGTAGCTGTATATGATGACATATATAGATTTGAAAGTGACTTCTTAATAGTGATGGCAGCTTATCTTATTAGAAGTAGACAGACAAACTGGATATTAAGCAAAAGATCAACTAAGGATAAAAACCATCAAAATAAGATTTAAATTTATGTAATGGGTAAACCAACCTAGTCTTTCACAGGTATACAGGCTATAATGGTGGTTTATTTGCAAATTTGTGTGGCCATTCTTTTCTGTTCACAGAACGAGACTCAGGAAAGTTGAAATATGACCACGATCGCGTGGACAGGGCGGAAAGTGGTGATTGCTACACCCCGGCAGCCCTGGTCTCCTCTGCAACCACTTCACACTTCCCTGTGCCAGCACTCAGCAGCGCCATTACAGTTATCGCCCCCACACATCATCACAGCAACAACACCACTGAGAGTTGGTCAGACTTCCACCCTGAGCACCCTGTGGATCCCGGTCCTTTTAGTAGAGGACCACCTCCTCAACAGAGGAAGCGATGCCGTGACTATGATGGTAAGAAAGCTGATTACACTTATTTTGTATTAATTGTGTAGGTTGGCAGTGTTCTTTAAATTGTTGTAGTTCTGTGTTTTTTTGATGTTTTACATATGTCTGCTGCCTTTTCCAGAGAAGGGCTTCTGCATGAGAGGGGACATGTGCCCTTTCGACCATGGAAATGACCCAGTTGTAGTAGAAGATGTCAATTTGCCCAGTATGTTGCCCTTCCAACCTCCACCCATGCCAGGTGTGGACCCACCACCGCCCCCAGGCCTCCCACCACCACCACCTCTCATGAACCCCCCACCTGTGAACTTGCGACCCCCTGTGCCCCCACCAGGCACTCTCCCACCCAGCCTTCCACCTGTTGCAGGTAGGAATTCAGACATTTCTCTGAAAGTGAAGTGTATTTCTTTGATAACACATTGGTTCAGGATTAATAATACTTTAACACAGACTTTTCCAACATAATTTGCAAAGTGTTTAACACCAAAAATATTTAATGCGTTTTTAAATTTCAAGTAAACTGGATGACCTAATGGCATCCAACTATTCTTAGGTTTAGGGGCAAAGACAAAAAATGCTCATAGAACTGTGACTAATGAATATTTTCAGTGGTGAGAAATCTTCAGATTATTTTCTCAATTAGTTGATGAAATTTTTCAGTCTGTAAAATGTCTGAAATTAGTAAAATAATGCCCATCACATTTCCTAAAACCTACAGTGACAATTTCAAAAAGATTTTGTCCCAACAACAGTAGGAAATCTAAAGAGATTCAGTTTACCGTCACCTGAATCAGGGAAAAGCAGCAAATTCTGACCAAACAGAAGCACAACTGCTTGAAAAATGACTTTGAATATGACTTACTAAGTGGGGGGAACCATTTCTTCTCATTTAAGGATTGATGGGGGATTGAAGGCATTAGGACACTGTATTGTTATTTCAGGTTTCTATATCAAACTTGAGTTCCAACAAAACATTGGACTAAAGTTTTGTTGCTCCAGCACGCTATCTGACAAGAACAGCTGTCACCCCATATTGCACTGTAACTGCATATAGATGTAACAGTTCATCCTGCCAGCTATTGCTATGGATGAACAGGAAATGTACTCATCTAAAGTATTTATGTTTGAATCAGTGAACTTGTCCTCGCCTTAAAAGACTATCTAAAGGGTTACCAGTAATTAAAAGTATCTTAAAACATAAGGCAAGAAAAGGTGAACAGTTATAATAACAGCCAGTTCAGCACAGTTCAGACTTACAAAATTGGTTTAACCAGTTGGTGTGTTGCTTGACCTTACACTTCTCAAACTGTACAATTTTTTTCTTTCCTCTCTCTCTGACAAAGGTCCCCCTCCCCCGCTTCCTCCGCTGCAACCATCAGGCATGGATGCTCCTCCTAATTCCATCACCAGCTCTGTTCCGACCATTGTCACCTCTGGGATGCGCTCCTCCCTTCCTCGGGCCTCAGTGCCGCTTTTCAACTCTGGTAATAGCTGTGCATTTTGAAGTTCCAAATTGAATTTTGTATTTATAAATCCCTGTTATTATGAGTTAAAGTGTCCTTTCTTTGCTGACCAGACAATTATGAGACAGATGTGTACAATCCTGAGTCTCCCAGCATCACCAGTACCCCCAGACCAGTCTACCGCCACCGGGTCAATGCCCAGAGACCCAATCTGATTGGTCTCACAATGGGGGAGGTGGACCAGCCACAGAGAGGTACTGTACTTATAACATGAACTAGACCATCTGAGCTTTGAGTAGATTGTCTTTAATCATGCATATCCTTTCTTACCATTAGTGTGCTTGGTACTTTGACCAGTGTAGTAGCCTGGTTTTGCCTGTCAAACAAACAAATGCCAATATTCACTACATGTTATTTGCTTTGGCTTTTAATACATAGTAGGGTCTGATGCATTCCTTTAAATTTATTGAATGTATGTCATCTGTGTGTCTGTGTTATTGTGCTATTTTATTTTTTGTACTGATCTTATTTATTTTATTTTAGTTATTTGTTGTGATTTTATTCTGCCCATGTAAAGTACTTTGGTCAACTGGATGTTGTTTTTAAAGTGCTATATAAATAAATTTGATTTGATTTGACATGTTACTGCGTTTGTGTTTCGGCAGTCTGTCTGAAGGTCTTGCCCTATGTTTGTCGTCTTTTTAGCTCTCAAAACTGACCTGTCAATGTTTGTCCCTCACCAGACAAGGTTCCTAACAACAGTATTAGGATTGTTATGGAATCTGATTCGAGGAAGAGGCCAGCAATCCCCCATGACGGAGGCCCTCCTTCCAAGAAACCTTGGTTTGACAAGTAAGACGCCTTTTTCATTTGATATAAAAATAAATCATATGCTACCTTTTTAAAACTGAATGGATGAATTGATTATTAATTAATTTTCTCTGCTCAGGCCCACCTTTAACAAACCCAATCACCAGGGCTACCACAAAAGAGTCCCTTTCTCTGCTAATAGCAAGCTGCTGGTTCGGCAGATTCCCCCTGAGCTCAACAACATCAGCAAACTCAATGAACATTTCAGCAAGTTTGGCACCATCGTCAACCTACAGGTCAGTCCCTAGGTGGTGCTGTAGAGGTGAAAGTCACAGCTTTGATGGTTGAAGTCAGTAAAACATGCAAGTGCTGTGTTGTGCAATCAGTGATGCCGCACAATACGCAGCTAATTTGTGAACAATATGTATTTTTGAATCTGGTGTCAGAAGTATCAATGAAGTTTTTTTTGTTTGTTTGTTTTCTTCTTATGTCTTTTTAGGTGGCCTACCAGAATGACCCAGAGGGAGCACTGATCCAGTTTGCCTCTCCAGATGAGGCCAAGCGGGCTATGCAAAGCACAGAGGCCGTTCTCAACAACCGCTTCATCAAAGTCCATTGGTTTCGTGATGATGGGACTGATGGACAGAGCCGGTCTCATGCGCAGGCACAGCCTCAGTCACAACCCACCACGGTAAAAGCTCATTTAAAAACTAGCATTTATAAAATGTGGTTGTTGTAGCTTTACACAGTACTTACCTAGGTCAAATTTGCCAGTACATGTAAATACCTTGACATAAGGTGCACTAAATGAACAATTTTTGAAATTGTTACCGGGAAAACAAAAAGAATTTCCAGAGACTAATAGTTGTTTAAGCAAAGGTCTTGTCCTTAAAGGTTTTAACAGTTTTTGCAGCAAGCACATCTAACACCATATGATATCATGTTTATGTTTGTGGTGCAGCACTATTAGAGGGTCATAGACTGTATTACAGCTGTGTAGAATACAGCTGTATGGTTTAGATGTTAGTTCTAGAGAAATGAGAGGCTTCTTCCAGGGCTCACTGTGGTAGCAGCATGTTCCTCTTGAATAGAGAAATTATTTCAGTTCCTCTGTTGCAACAAAAAAGCCTGCAAATAGCAGAGTGACATGGAAAGGAGGGGTATAGCTGAAAGACACCATGTCCTGTCCCATTTTCACTTGACTTATCAGACACTGTGTAAAATCTTAGTTGATAAATCTTTAAATAAACTTCATTAATCCTGGCTTAATGTGATCAACATTGCCTGTGTTATTCAGCAGCCCTCAGCAGCATCTCTGAAGCACTCTATCAAAGATCGCCTTGGACCTGTTCTCCCTGCAAACTTTGAGCCATCCCAAGATTCCAGTGTAGCCTCACAGGTGTGTGTGTGTGGGTGTGGGTGTGGGGGTGGGTGATGTTTAGTGGTTGTTGTTTTTCACATATACTTGTCAAAACCTGCAGAAGATGTGTATGAACATTATGTATTTTTCCCCTTTGGTGCAGAATCCCTCTAAAGTGTCAGTGAAGGACCGTTTGGGTTTCTCTGCCAAACCTGCAACTCCTGTTGAAAAAGTAAGTGTTTCACTCTATTCAGAATTACAAGTTTAAGTTTGGAATTTACCTGCTTCTCTTTCAAATTTTATAAATGTTATATGCTGTCACTTTTCTACTCTTTTCAGGTGTTTTCGACATCCATGGGCCTCACAAAAACTGTATACAATCCTGCTGCCCTGAAGACTGCTCAGAAACCATCAGAGGAAGCCCTGAAAAAGAAGCAGGTGAGAGGCAAAATGGAGGTAATCATGGAAAAAAAGAGGAGCCACAATATGATAATGAAATGGGAAGCACACAATTTGGATTCTTATACAAAGAACAGAAGGCAGTAACTAAACAGTTCTCTTTTTCCTTTTCTTTTTTTTCCAGGAAGCCCTAAGATTACAGCAGGATGTAAGGAAGAAGAAGCAGGAAATATTGGAGAAACACATAGAGACACAGAAGGTAAATTAATCTGGAATAGAAGCTTTAATACACTTTCTGCACATTCAAGTGTCCCTGTCACAAGTTTACATTTGTCTTCTGTGAGCTGTAAAAGTACAGAGTCCGACTCATTATTTAACTGAGCTGAAGCAACAGTCCTGAAGCCAGTCTGTGGACTTTTATTTGTTTGTGAATCAGTGACTCATTGCCTTTGTGATCATAGTCAAGGGGGTTAAGGATCATGTGTCAGCATGCCATATTTTGTCTGCAGAGTGAAATTATTAAATTATATTTTCATCACAGTGTAAACTCTTACCATGTGACCTGTGTGCTTTGAGTGCTCTGCTGGAGGCAAGTTCATACAGCAGTTCAACTTGTGATGCTCATGTCTTCCACAGCTCTTGATTTCCAAACTTGAGAAGAACAAAGCAATGAAGGCAGAGGACAAAGCCAAGATCATGGAAACTTTGGACAAGTTAACCAAGAGCATCACCAAACTACAAGAGGAGATAAAGGGGATTTCAGGCAGCAACAACAACCCGCTACGCACTGTGAAGAGCAAGGCCCAGGTACCGCGGTCCCTACAACACAAAATCCTACTGATAAAATCCTGATAGACTTGGGAACTTTTTTCATATTGCTTTTCAACTGCTTTGTTGTACCTCACTTTTTATGTATGAATATCTCCTCACCTAGCAAGCAGTTGTACACCACATTCTCTTTCTTGCTCTTTTCCCTTTTTATTTAGTAGTATGTAACCAGTATTTGGGTTTTTATTGAGCTAATTTCTACTCTTCATTTTAATTCCTGTACGATTACAGATGTATCTTTGTTCACCTGAAAGTACAAAGTCAAAAGCCTTTGACATGTTACTTCTGACTTGCAGTGGCTTCTTTTCTGATGTGACTTATTATGTTCAGGCTCAGAAGGAACTGCTGGACGCAGAGCTGGATCTCTACAAGAAAACGCAAGCTGGAGAAGACACTGCTTTGCTGAAGATAAAGTATACCCAGCTGCAGATTGAGGTATAGACTTGATCTTGAAAGAAAAAAAAACCTTCCAAACTTAAAATTGGATGCAAAAATGACAGGTGCCACTTGAGGAGACTTGTGCATATGTAACTTCTGTTGGTGTTTCAGCTCAACAACTCTATGTATTTAAAGATTTGTGCTCTGTTTAACTTGTTTCCACCTGTTTTTACCCAGGCGGCTAAGAGGGGACTCCTGTCTCCAGGACGAGGCCGAGGAATCCACATCTGGGGCCGTGGTGGTCTCAGGGCCCGGGGACGGGGCTCAAGAGGGCGTGGAAGAGGCGTACCAGTGCATGCAGTTGTGGACCATCGACCACGAGCACTGGAGATTTCTGGTTTCACTGAAGCAGATCATGTAGACTTGCTACCGCACTTTGCTGTAAGTTGGCCTAAAAACTATATTACTGAGAAAAAGAGATTTGATATCCACAGTGGGAGCAAATTAACCTTTTGAAGAAAACTGTAGGTGGGACATCAGAGGACACTACATAAAAGGGCACTGCTATCTTAACCAGGGCCCAACATTAACGCTTGCCCGGGGCAAGCAAACTGTTTGGCCAAGTGGAATGCGTCATGCAGTTGGCTGATCGGGCAAGTGAAAAATACAGGTGATAGTCTGTATCCATTTTTTTGTGTGTTGAAAACAACTTGGCTCTCAGTGTGCACAGGGAGAATTATGTCAGAACCTGAAGAGACCAGTGAGTGAGATTAGTGACTGGAAAACATGGTTTTGGTGTATATGGAGCGACTTCTTCTCTGTCACATTGAGAGCGGTGCTGAGCTCCTGGACATGGAGCAGAGAACAGCTGAGGCACCGTGGTGCAGAGAGGGGCTGCAGGTGAAACATACAGGTCTATTAGAGTACTCGAGGTAACAATACCTCTGCTTTGTACTGTACGTGCAATAAAACCTCCCAGAGTAAAAAGCCAGTCAGAGCAATTTATCAAAGCATCCGTCAAATGAGCATAAATTTGCAGAGTGGCGATTAATACTTCTAATTTATTCAAGACATGAGAAATAAAACTTTGGATTAAGGCTGTTTGTATTGTGGTTCTGTAGAAACAAAAGAAAAAGTACAAAATGTAAACCTGCACAAAATCTAAAAATTACATGCATCACACCTTTGCTATAAATACAATTGGACTCTAACCTCAAAGTCACACCACAAGGATTTCAGTAAAATAGAAATAAGAGAGATGAACTTGGGATTTCTTTGGTAATATCTCATTAAGTAGTTGCAATGAGAGAAGGCTGGAGTACCTGGAGAGAACCCATGCAGGCACAGGGAGAACATGCACAATGAGAGAAAATGCATAAGACATTTTTTCACAAATTACATTGGACTGACTGTAAAGTGACCAGAATCTTGTGTGTTCCTGATTTTGAAGCAATTTGGAGACATTGAAGATTGCCAGATTCATGAAAGCAACCTGTCTGCAGTCATCTCCTACAAGACTAGAGCAGAGGCAGAACAGGTGATGTGTTTCTTAATCCTGACATTCATATTGTGAAATAGTATACATGTTCCACTTTGGAGACTCAGTCTTGGAGAGCCTGATATTTGCATGATACTGACACACCTGTTTCCTCTTTGGTGCTCTGTTTCATCCACCTGTAGGCAGCTCTTCATGGAGTGAGATTCAATAACAAGATTTTACGCCTGGCCTGGCATAAGCCTGTCACGACACTCAGTACTGCAGATGCTGATGAGGCGGAACCAGAGGAGGATGAGGTTTGTGGATGAGGTTTATCTACAATACATATATTTATATTTTTGTCCTCAGAACACCTGTGGTAATTGACAGGGAATGGTTTTTTTGTCAGGTTTTCAGTAATGATGATGACTCTTATGGAGAGAGGTCAGGCAGGATTGGTCTTATTTCTTCCACTGGGAAGTATTTGCACCAGTGGGGATATCAGGATGTTCTCTGCTCAGATATATCAGTAAAGATTATTAAATACCATTTTCTTGTGCTACATTTAGAGACCACAAGAGGGAGCCATTACACATTAGAGCAGGGATTGACTTGATGTGGATTTTACACAGCTGCTTGTACTTTCATTAAGCAGGTGGTTTGTGTGCGGCATGATAGTTTTGAGCTGAGAATTGAGTTTCTCTTGAGACTGTTTAAATAAACTGTTCAAGCTGAGTGCTCATGATCCTCAAAATAAAAGGTCTTTCCACTTTAAATTGCCCTTCATTCACTTTAGAAAGCCTTAATATTGATGTTTTTTTTGTTGTTTTTAAATTAGTACCCGGAAGAGTCGCTGAGTGACAATGCATTGCTGCAGGACGATGATGAGGAAGAAGATGACAACGAGCCGCGCTCCTGGCGCAGATGAAGATCAGTCAGATGCCTCCTCCCTGGTTTCCAAGAAACAGAAGACAAGCAACAGTCCAGCAACTTCACAACATTTCAGTGCCTGTTTATAAATCAACAAGGCACATTTCACTCTGGCTAGACCCCCTCACCCCCCTCCCACACCTCATATACAGACATGTAACTGGCAGAAGAACCATGTGAGAGTTTGATTAATTTTAGTGTGTGTATACCACTAATTTCTTTTTAAAAATGCTCTTAATGTAGAAATAGTTCTCTTATTTTTATTATTTTTTTTCACAAAATGCATAATTTGTCTGTACATGTGATGGCTAATTACATAAAGATACATTTGTTAAACTGTTTCAGAAAACAAAACCTATGTTGTCTATAAATGAATGACAGACTAGTTTTTGCAAGGTAGTATTAGGTTAAATGCTCATGTGTAAATATTTTATGTCTAGGGTTAAATGATTTGTATGAAAGCTTGGCTTTTCAGTTTTTGGCTTTATTTTGGATTGTACAAAAAATAAAGAATTGAAATGGTCTGAAAAATCCTGCCCAAAACAAAAAGTAAAAAAAAAAAAAAAAAAAAAAAAAAAAAAAGGGGGGGGGAAAAAAAAAA